AAAATTTGCTAGAACGGCAATGAAAAGGAGAATACATATAATGACAGGTCCAAGTATTTGATCTAGGAAGGAGTCGATATGAGAGAAGGTCTCTTTTTTGACACATACCGAAATGACCTATTTTGGTTTAATGAGCAAGTGAATAATAAATCAGCATTCGAAAATATGACTTGCCAGGGTAACGCTGTTTAATCATGGTTATCCGCTGTTGGTATATGATATAGCCATAGATCTACAAAGAACATCGTTGGAATCGAGATCCTTTTTTTTATCGAAACATACCACAATCCCAACGCTAATTACAGCATAGGTATAAGCAAAATTTAACGCAATTTGGTCCCGAGAGGCATTAAACAGGGCCAAAGCCAATGTGCCTAGAAGCATTGCAACATTCAAATAGGCAACCCATGCTAAAAAAAGATGTGTTGGCGTTTCAATCGTTGTTCAACAATAACTAGACGTACTTCTTTCATTTGCAAACCAAACCTAAACAAAGAAAATATAAGTGATTACAAGTAAATGTGATTTGAAAACCTCTGGAGAGTTCACCTTGCTCTCAACCTGAATGGGGGTCGGAATTTTCTTGGGTACTCGGACCTGGGGCGGAATAGCATTAATAGAATGATAGTCACGAACAGTAGGACGTTGTCCATCTTCATCCTCCTCAGTTTCGGGTATCCTATCTGCACGCATAGCCCGTTGTCTGACCCCTTCTGGGTTCTTCGGGAGATTGCCGGTTGGAAATAGCAAGTCTCGAAGTGACAACGAGCCTGGAGAAAGCCACCTTTTTACAGAGTTCCATGGATTATGAGAGACGACTGCAGAATCTGTAATTTCATTTTCCTCAATGTCATTGTTTGCAGACATGGGGTTTAGCTTATCCAACGGTTTCCCGGTGGCCGAATGGATCTTTGTGGACACGTATTGACGTCACGCAAATGTGTATGCTCCGAGTCGAATCTTCCGGAAGAGCCTAGCACGTACGAGTTCGTCAACTCACTGGTATATACTTACGGTCTTCGCAACTTCATTCCAGTTCATTTTCCTACTCTCTTGATCACTCACTCACATACTCACTCGATCACGCTTAATTCTCTGTAATGGGCAAAGATTATTATGCAGTCCTTGGCATATCCAAAGATGCAGATGAAGAGACGATTAAAAAGGCATACAAGAAGATGGTAAGTCGTCGTCTCATGTTCAGTCGACAATGTAAAACTGATTATGACTTGTTAAAGGCTTTGAAATGGCATCCTGATCGTAATGCCGGAAAAGAAGAAGCATCGCAGAAGTTTAAAGAGGTAACATCAATACCAGCCAAATCTTTGTTGATGTCCTGATATATCATGTTAGATCTCGGAAGCGTTTGAAGCACTCAGCGATAAGAACAAACGAACAGTATATGATCAATTTGGAGAAGAAGGTCTAAAAGGCGGAGCACCTCCTCCGGGCGGACAGGGCTTTGCAGGTGGATTCCCTGAGGGAGCATTTGGTGGATTCCCAGGCGGCGGAGGTGCTCGAACATTCACCTTCACAACTGGTGGTGGTGGGTTTAATCCAAAAGATCCAAATACAGTATTTGAGTAAGTCGTTTGTTTTTACATACATCTCAAAAGAATCTATGTCACTGACAGCGATTATGAAATGACAGACAGATATTTGGAAGTGCGTTCGGAGGTGGACTGGGTCGGGGTTTTGACGAAGACGACGATATGTCTGGAGGAGGTGGTGCGAGATTTACAAATATCTTCGGAATGCCCGGAGGATTTGGAGGAATGGGTGGTATGCCACGCAAGCGACCTTCTCATCCTCATGCAGCTTCTCCAAGCACACCTAATGGCGGTCCCGGTTCCTTAGAAGTGACTCGACCATTAAAAGTCTCGTTAGAAGACTTGTATACTGGAACGACCAAAAAACTTAAGGTCGGCCGGAAGTTGCTCTCTGGTGGAACAGAAGAGAAGATCTTAGAAGTCGAAGTTCAGGTAAGAAGATTTTTATTATTTTCATTAAAACGAGTAAATTTAACTTACAATTATATCCTAATATGTAGCCTGGATGGAAGGCTGGAACCAAGATAAGATTTCCCAATGCCGGCAACGAGCAAGCAAGTGGTGAATCTCAAGACGTTGTATTTGTCATTGAAGAGAAACCGCATCCGCGCTTCACAAGAGATGGGCATGATCTAATTACGACTCTGGACCTTCCCCTTGTCGATGCGTTAACGGGTTCAGGGGGGAGTAAGACCATTGATGCGCTGGATGGACGAAAAGTACGAGTTCCCTTGACATCTGGCATCGTGAAACCTGGGTCAGAAACGAGGGTTAGCGGTGAAGGAATGCCCATTCGAAAGGCAGGAACAACCAAGAGTCGAGGCGATCTCCTCGTTAAATGGAACGTTGTTTTCCCAGATCGTCTAACACCAAATCAAAAAGAAGAACTCAGAAAGATCCTGAAATGAATTTTTTTCTTGCAAATTTTCCTTCATCGATTAAGATATCCGCAGCATTAGCATAGCTTTTTCCCTTGTTTCCAAGTTGATAATTATCCCAATGTATCCTTATCCCGTCTGTAAAGCATTATATTAGATAACTTATAAATGAAAGAACATTGACTAAACTCGCAATTTTGCAACATAAACATGTTTTTAAAAAAAAACATAGAGAAAATGGAAGACTCGCAAAAAAAAAAAGATGGGTTGATACTTATTAGACGACAGAACAGGCTTCTCCCGTCTTTGTAAGGAGTATTCCCCGATCACGTGATACCCTCTACGTCTCTAGATCTCGAAACGAGGCATATGCGAGGCCTATCATAGTAGTGCTAAACCTCGCCAAAGTGTCCCCGAAGGCATATCTTTCCATGAACGGAAGCACAGCGTGCCGCAGTCAGAAATGTCCGAAAAATGATGGAACCCTTTTTGACTTGCCATGGACACATCTCGCAGAGTCATTTGCTGCCCTGATATCATGATCTCAAAGGTCTCCTGCCTCGTGGTGTATGCTCATGTTAATCTACCCTCTTATCTTTATGGGACTGATTTCGTTATATATACGCCATCAGAAGAAAAACGAAATATTCCACCATCATCTCAATAGTTTCTTTTATCTCTTCCTTCTGTACTATACTCGTCATCACTCCCTTGCTTTTCATCTCTTTCGTCCCTTTTTCTTTTACTACTTTCCTCCTACTTTTCATATGCCTGCTCCAACCAAACTCAAGAATTACTACATCTCCCTGGGGCTCACCAAGTCAGCAACATATGACGATATCAAAGCTGCATACAGAAGTCTCGTACGATACTTTCGTCAACTTAAATCTGAGCTCACACTTAAATCTTTTCCTTTTTACAGGCCTTGCAGTGGCATCCTGATCGTCACGAAAAAAATAAAGAGGACGCTGCGCGTAGATTCATAGAGGTCCGTTAGATATCTTTCATGATATTCAATATGGCTAAACATCCCATATCAGATTAATGAAGCGTATAAATTTCTCACTGATCCAAGCCGTCGAGACCGATACGACAACAAACCAACTGAGAAAACTCGCGGACGACACGGCCCAAAATCGACTGCTACCCAAGGCGAATATTCCACCAAAACTGATAAACCACAGCAGTCGAAACCCGAGAATTCATCGTCAAAACCTGAGCCGCCTTTCACTGGTGAAGGGCTGAAGGTTCCTGGCACGAATATATTTTCTTCGACGAAAGCCAAATCGGACCCAGGTCTTAGAGATCCCGTCAAAGTCCCTGGAGGACAACCGCAACATGCCACCTCTGAAGCTGGCCTTCATGAGCGTTACAGAGGATCACATAATAACGAAGACTGTCGAATGCCGTCTTCAAATGGTACATTCACCCGAGCGAAATCAGAAGGGAATCGCTCGCGACCTGTTGAAGAGCAGTCACCTCTACCTGATTCGAAGTCCCGTCCAAAGTCGTCTGGAGGAAAAATCGAAGCAGAGTATGTTTTAAGCCCCCTTTTTTCATAGTCGACGTTTTCTGAATTAGGTATTAAATTATAGTCTGAGAGACTTTATTCGGCGTATGTCGGGTGGAACCAAAAGGCCGCCCAAAGGATCGCCTTCCTTCTCAAGTCAAAAGGCAACCATCTACGACGACAATGATGACGGCATCCCTGTTAGGAATACAGAACTGTATACTACCACGCAACCCACAACTGAAATACCTGCTGAATGGATATTTCCACTGCCACTCACATTAGAAGAACTTTATGAAGGCGCATGTCAACGTTATCGAATCACACGTCATTTACTCTCTGGCAAGAAGAAAGATATTATGGTGGATATTGATATTGGTCAAGGCTGGAAACAAGGAACCAAAATCCGGTTCTCAGGTGCAGGAAACGAACGGGAGGGCGGTACACCACAGGATGTGGTCTTTATTGTTGAAGAGGTCCCACACCAGAGCTTTGTTAGAGACGGATCGACGCTAATTACCCATGTGCAAATTCCCCTGCTAGATGCACTTGCTGGTGAAGGTCGAAAGGTTTATCTCTCTGGCGTGGATGGGAAGTCCATCGGAATAGACATCCCTCCCGGGATTATTAGACCTGGAGACGAATATTATATTCAAGGAGCGGGAATGCCAATTCGCAAGCAAGGTGAAGTTGTTGGTAGGGGTGATATGATTGTGCGGTAAGCGACCTTTTTTTCTTGAATTTTTGTTTCCTTTTTTTGATGAACGAACGTATTACATAAAGGTGGGAAATACAATTTCCTGAAAAATTGACAAGGGAACAAAAACAAACCTTAGAGAAGGCTTTGAGGTACTGAACGAACGAAAGGACTCTGGTTGAATGAATGATCTACTTTGCGACGCTTATACTTTCCTTCTATTGTTATCGCTGAACACTCGCAGCTTTTAGATAGTGTTATCATATTCTTATTCAATTCTTTCTTTTGGGATTTTCTCTTTTGGACAATGTAGTCAATAGTGGTTTTGTAGCTAGACACGTTTAAAAACAATGGGTTATTATGAGACTGGGGTGGGGTAGTGGTAACCTTAACGCTTCCCAAATGGGTGTTCTTCAGCGTTAGCGCCGGGTTCGATTCCCGGTCCCAGTATGTGTTTTTCATCCAGTCGAGCTTTAAGCGAAAATTATAGGGTTCTTACAAAGAAGAAAACTTCCTTTTGCGAGGTTGCTATGTTCCTTTTTTATCTTTTCAATGGCACCGTGCTCAGTTCCGGCCGAAATGTTCAGCTCTAAGTTGGGAAACGTGATACTAAACGTGCTTTTTCAAGGCAAAACTCAAAAAAGGTCTACTGGCGCCAAAGCCCAAAGCCTTAACCTTTCCAAAATCTTCTGTCCCGCACATTCTCAACTGAATGGCACCCGTCGAGTTGAACGGAAATGCTCGTCCTTTAGGCGCAACACCTGCCCCGAGTTCATCTTCGAATAGTAATCTGAATGCAGCTGGCTATGTCAGAACATCCAACATACTCGTTCTGGGTCTGCGAAGGTTGTTATTTCTCATTATTATTATATTGCCTTGCATAGCTTATTCCAATGTTCACCTCCTTTTTCTTTTTCTCTCTTTTCATTAGAAGCGGTAAAACATCAATATTGGAAGTCGTTTTCAAGAATCTTTCACCTAAACATACTCTCTACATAGACCCGTCTATACGGATACAAAGACTGCGTATCGAGTATGCTACACTAATTATTTTCTTGACTCATTTTTCTGAAACGATGTAGTTCTGCCATTCCTTTGGAATTTTGGGATTGCCCTAGCAACGTTGCTCTACCGACATTACCACTACAACAGTTTTCCACCGTGTTGTTCGTGATCGATATGCAGGTGCGTCCGGAACAAAAAAAAAACGCATCGTTCATGTGTGCTAATAATACCTTTTCATTAATAAAGGACACATTTTCTTACTCCATTCCGAAACTAATCGACGTCGTAACCGTAATGTATCAAACCAACCCTGAAATTAATATCGAAATATTTGTGCACAAAGCCGACGCTTTGGCTGATGACTACAGAATTGGTTCGTCTTCCATATTCAAATCTTGTAGGTCCATCAATCTCATCATCATTCGTTCTAGAAACATACCGCCATGTCCAACAACGCGTATTTGACGAGTTAACCGACACGAACATAGATGTCGACTCGCTTCAGCTCCAATTTCATCTTACCTCTATATGGGATCACACAATCCTCGAATCATTTTCCCAACTCGTGCAAAGACTCATTGAACCGCTTCCATATCTGGAAGAACTACTCAACGTGTTTTGCGCTGTATGTATTTCTGACCTTTTTTTTTGGTCTTCCTCGGTTTTTGTTATATATAACTCAACCACATCTAGAATTCACGTTTGCTCAAATCATTTTTATTTGACAGCAATTCTCGAATATATGTTGCAACGGACGCTTCCCCAGTGGATGGGAACACTCATACCCTTTGTTGCGATTACGTTAGGATGCTCTCAGATTTTGCACCTTTATATTGGTATAGTTGACTTTTTTTTGGTTTGCGATGCACTACATGTGTTCATTTGTTCTTCAGTAAAAGCGTGGAAGATAACCCTAAAGATGCCAGTACATGGTCTAACAGCTCCATTAGATTGAGTCCCGACACAAGTTTGGTTTATTGGCAAATTACCAGGTATGATAAAAAGTGTATATTTGAAACGCCCGATTGTTATTTATTGGTTTTTTTTTTTTTAGGAATCTGTGTCTTGTCGTTACCATTCCTACTGACGTGTATCTCAACCGACGGGGGCTCATAGAATACAATCTTGTATTTTTCCGACAAGGAGTTCAAGAAATTCTCGATCTCGACGCAAGTGAGCGAAGCCGCAAACCCGGTGATTCAACGTCGCCTTCATGACGCCAAATAAATCTGGAAATTTTCTTGTCTGTTTCTACACCCTCCTCCCTCCCTCTGTTTTCACATGTTTAGTTTGCAGTATTTTATGTGCCATAATACCCTCAACAAGTTGTATCAATTGCCCAACCACCATTATTTTTTACACAATATCTTCGCATTTTGCATAAAAAAAGCCAACCGAAAAGGATTTCATCCGATCGAGTTCGATTTTTTTTTTGAGTTTATAGTGGTTTGTACTTCCTTTTTTTAATAAATAAAATATTTGTGCAAAAGTTAAGTGTTCATTGGGTTGACGATAGGCTAATTGAACAAGAGATGATACAATGTGCAATTAGAATTTAAATGTCTCTTGGGAATCAACAAGGTTCAAATATTATCATTATTTGCTTTCCATCTATGCCACAATTTCTCTGATAAGAGCAACGGCTTTTTGGAAGGCGGCTTTCTGTTCCTCGGTGGGCTGAACGGTACTCTCGCCAGTACCGGTTCCATTGGGTCCACCATTCATCCACTGCCATTCCCCGTTGCTATATGCAATACTGGTATCTAATCCATAAATATCTTGAACGCCCGGGGGGCTTTCTACAGGAAGTGATTTAAGGATTGCTTCAAGTTCTTCGACCTTGGCTTTGTGTTCTTCGGCAGCGAGTTCCTTGGGTGGCTCAGGGAGCAATTTAGGTGTTCCATCTGGTCGAATTTGAGAACTGACCAAAAGTTTATCTTCTTCTTTTGAAATCAGATGAACTTCCGATGGAGTTGGAGGTTTAAAACCTCCTGTGATTCCTAGATTGAACAATCATGATAAGATACGCGATTTGGATAAGGGAATAAGATAGAGATTCATAATATATATATATATATACCTTTCTGGAGACGAATGAAAAATGGAGAGGGTGACATCGTTGTAAAAAGATAACACTGGAAAGATTAAAAGGGGGTTAACGTTACACTGGCCTTAGTTATATATCACTGGTTGTCTGCACTGCGCTTGTGCCTCAACAGGTCCGAGGTTTGCCCCATTATCTAATGACGCAATTACGATAGGTTTATCACGTGCCCTTTGAACCTCGAGCGTATAATTCTCCTTTTAACCTTTATTTTGGCAGACTCTTCTTGAGCAGGATCTTCCTACGAGAGGATCATGGTTATCCCATTATATTTTGAATGGTGGAAGTTTCCTATCTCAGTCCTAGACCACCGCATATATCCAAGTTATGTGTTCAATACTTAATTGTAATCGTCTAGTTCTCCACATTGAAAGTTGTCTATCCTGGTTTAGATGCCTGGACACTGGGCCTTGCCCTTGTTTTTCTTTTAGATTTCTTGTGCTCCAACCCTAACCCTTATCTTGAGGTTGCCTAATTGCAAATCCTTCTGACTACCATTTCCAAGTTCGACCATGTCTAACAAACTACGGCGATCAAACTTTACAAGATCGTATTACCAAGCCTCCTATTGGAATTTCAATGATCATATATGTACAGTTGAAGAAAACGAAAAAAAGGAATAAAATTACAAAACCGAAACGAACAGTGGTAATTATTATCAAATACATATTATTAATGATTAATGCATATTGTTAAGTGTAAATTTTGGTTTTGGTTTAAACCAACGCCGCGTCCTATGGAAAAGAGAGATAATGGTCAGTTAAAAGATTCCATGCCCGGAACAGAGGAAACAAACCTTGAGATATCCACGGAAAATCGAGTCTCGTACTAAAAAAAATGGATATTAATTCTTTCCCAAATAATGATAATAATTGATCCAACCATTAATTATAACGTTTTGAGTAGCCTTTGTATCCTGAAAAGTGATAGACATGATGGTAAATTTACACAACGGAGGGAGAGTGAAAGGGAGACACATACAACAACACTAGTCATATGAACATACAACACCCTCTTAGCGTCATTGTTTCGGCGATGGACTTGAGCAAAGTGGGCTTTAAAATAATTTGTCACTGCGTCATACGTATTCGGACGTTCACCATAAGATGTTATACTTCAAACAACCCAATGTCAGCCCTGAGAATAGAACAGGACGAGAAATCGATATTTACTAGCGCTTGACAAGGATTCCTGATTCTAGCTTCGCCTTTAATAGGTCCGTTTTGTCTAAAAAGGCAACATTAAAACGTCAAAAATACTTCCCCGTTTTTGACCATACGTACTTAAGAACAGAACCATATGAACGTGTTTCAGTAAACGATGTGAACATATTTTAGTGAATAATTGCAACGAATCGTCGATACGATTTGTCCGCGAATCTTCGTCTAAATACTAAATGAAACGTCAGAAGATCAGATTTAATCAGGGAGGGGGTAAGAGGTTTTACCTGATCGAAGGCTGAGATAGGAGCAAGAAAAATGATCGCAGTGGCGTCATCAAAATAAGGAATCCAAGAATTCCGCTAGACAAAAATCTCATTAACCGATATCCACGACTACATTTTTCTTCTTATAATACAAACCTGACTTCGAGCACCACCGACATCGTATAACAACCACCTGACAGCTTTTGAGCCCATCGAAACTTCAAACTCGTGCTCAGCAATTCCCATTGTCCGAATTCGCGCTCTCATTATGTCATCTATATGAGTTTTTTTTTTTTTTTAATTCGATGTTGTTGATTTCAATGAACGATATTCACGTGTGTGCTTCTGAAGAGCGTGAATGCTTACCTATCGAAGGTAAATAACCCGGTGAACCAATACGATCAATATCGTTTAGAAAACTTTACGGTTGTCGGATCGGGTCCGGGTCCATAAGAGTACTAAAAAAAAAAGACTCACAAATCGGTACCATCATCCAATCGTAAGCGACGGGTGCGTATTTGCTCCTTGACAGACGGATGTTCCCATAATTCTTTGACGTCGTCCTAAATTAAAATCATGTGTCAATAATTCAATAAACGTTCTTCTTGAGCATTCCGACGATATGTACCTTGCACGCGCAAATTATCCTTCCGACCGGATCGTCTGGGGGAGTGTTGGCATCCGTCGGGGCACTCTTCCATGAACTGTGATTTTTAGAGAAAGGGTTACTTTTTATCGCAGTTTGCCACCCTCTATGGACAAGTACACCTTCCTTCCCGCCACTAATTGCCTTGTTTCCGCCCACGCTGAATCGAGAAGTAAGGCTAGCTTCCATGCCTAATAAGGGTGATAAACGTAATTTCAAATTGGCGAGCCTGTTTGGCCAAGTGGAGGAGGATTCGTCGAGAGTAGCAG